TTTATATCTAAAATGAAATATAGCTTTATCATCTCCAATGGGTGAACCTAAATGGGTAATATTGGCTTTGTCCACTAGAATAAAATTTTCGGGTGGGCATTCCATTTAATGGGGGAATATATTACACTTATGAGGGTTTAGTGATAGTCCTGTAATAGAGGCTAAGTGATTTATGATTGTTGGAATTTATATGATTTTTATATAAGAGCCAGCTAGTGTGCCATCTTTCAGGTACCAAACATTTAATTTAAGATCACAATTGGAAGAGATCTCTTTTATAATTAATTGAATGCCTGACAGAATAATGCTGGACCCAAAAGATCTTCTTGTTGGATGCCCTGTTTAGAGAAAATAATAGAATCATTAAATATTAAAAAGGTGGGTTGGTTGTAAAATGCAGCGATGTATGTTGTATAATGTGGGAAAGTTTCACAAAAAGAGGGTATAAAATGTTCTCTCCTAAGTGAATTGAAGGCATTATGTAGGTCGATTTTGAGAATGCATTGATCATGTGTATTATGGAGGATGACACGTGTCGAGTGGGATGCAGCCTCACATCCTCCAGGAATATTAAAACCAAGCTGGTTTGGTTGTAGTAGATTGGATAGGTTAGATTTTATACGAATTATTTTGGAAATGATTCGCATGAAGAGTGACCCTATTGCAATAGGCCAGATGTCTCACATTGGTTTTATTTAAGGATATTAAGCGGGCTTCAAAAATTATGGGCTGAATGGGATTAGGTATATTATTATGAAAGATATGATTGAGCAATATGGTGAATTGTATAAGTATATTTTGATATAGGGGTATGGTTTGTTTAATTATATCTTGGAGATAAATGGCTCGAAACCATCGATGCCTCCTGAAGAATCTTTTTTGAATGACTTTATTGCTTCCAATATTTCTATCTCGGTTAGTGGAATGCGATTATTAGATGGTGGAAGGATGATTTGTGAAAAATCTTGAGGATGTTTAGATTGCATGGCCGTGAGAGTTATATCATTATTGGGGGCCATAGTATCACTTGAACAGGCTATGTTGATAACTGAATTTACATTGCATAGATTTATTTTATTTTCAATAAACTTAGCCTTTTTTTTATTTGTCAAATGCTTATTGGAAGAATGTGGAGGTTGTTTGGGAATATCAAAATAACTATTATCATTTGATTTTAATGTTTTTTTGATGTTATGTGTTAAGTTTAATTTTGATGATGTGAGATGTAGATTTAAATATACAAATGATAATAATTTAATCCAATTATCTAAGCTTTTAATATTTTTATTTAGGGAGGTTAAAATAGTTAAAAAAAATTGTGAAAAATAGCACCTTTCGGAATACGAGCTATTATGGGGGGTGAGGGACTTCCTTTCATAAATTTTTCTAGCCATTCTTGTGCCTCAGCAATAAAAGTTGAATTAATATTATTATCTGGGCATGAAGATGATTGTTTCTGTGTTGAAGGTATTGTTGGAGCTTGAAGTTGTAGGTATTGGTTCCAAATTAATACTATTAATAAGAGCAGGATAAGAAGAAGGAGGCATAACAGGTTCATTGTTGTTAAAGAAAGTACCTGATGAAGGGCATCTGTTCCTTTTATTAGGGAAACATTGTTATTACACGTGGGACATATTGTTATGTATGATTATTATGTTTAAAGATTAATATTGAAAGATTCTTGATATACAAAACAAAACTTATCTCAGATTCAATCAGGGAGGTAAAAATGCTTATCACGCTTAAATGTAATAAACACTTTCGTAGGCTATTTAGGGTTTTTAATTCATTATAACCCAATACCTTCTAGTAATGTTAAATAAAAGAATTTATTTTTTCCAAATCTTAAAGTATCTAGTTCTAAAGAAGTTCTTTATAGGAATTAATATCCTTTACGACAAAATAACTAATATATTATTTTTTAATAGCGTCTCTTATCCCTAATACTATATTTTCCTCCATTTTCTTACTGCTTCCTATCCTCCATTTTTATTTTCATTTTTTTTTACTTTACCAAAAATTTTGTTTATTTTTTAAATTTAAATTTTTTAAAAAAAAAATAAACAATAAAAATAAAAATAAATAATTAAAAAAATTATTATTTATTTATTTTTTACATAAAAAACCTACTTTTTCCAAAACACGTTTTTTCATTACTATAAATATACTATTATGTTTTATTACTAATTTTTACTAAAACTAATTATCTTCTCTTGTCTACCGGTTTAATTCTCTCTTTATTTATCTACTTATTTACACCTCAAGATTACAATACCTAATTTAATTTTTAACAAATAAAATTTAGAATATAAAAAATAATTTTTTGGAAGAAGGATCTTTTTTATTCTTATATTTTTTCTTCCACTAACATATTCAAATAGCTCGGGTGTAGTACCACCCTTTTTTTGTTTCATATCTGGGTTACAAGGTTTGTTGATATCCTTGAGTAAAAAAATCGGCATAATTATATGAAGGATGGGCCTTAATATAATTCACGTACGCTCACATTTGGGCAGGTCTATGACCAACGTGCTATTAAAGATTAAAGATTAAATGCACTATTAAGTCATTACATAACGATATTTACGTTTTTATGAATTTTTCTCCTTACACTGTAATTTTTTGCATACATTTTTGACCTTTTCAATCTCATTAAATTATTTTTAATCTTCATTTTTCTGATCTTTTCTCAATCTTTTTTTCTTATCAATTTTGATAATTCTTTTTTGTATTTAATTTTAATTTTCACTTTAATTTTACTCAATGGCACACAATTTTTATTAGAAAATTTTGCATATCAATTTAACAAATACTGAAATAAATAATACATTTAGTTATAATAATGTACCTTTTTATAATAAAATTAGTTTGAACTGTAATGATATGTAAATTAATAAAAAAAATTTTAATTTTAATATTTATGCATATTGTTTAAAAAAGCTTTGTGAAAATTAATGTAAAATAATATAGCAATTGATATTATGGCATTTAATCTAATTTAAAACATATAAAAAACGATTAACAACAAAAATAAAATAACATATGGGAAACCGGGGTTATACGGGGCAAGTCAGAATATTTCTTAAATATATTAAATTTTAGAAAAGAAAATTGAGTTGTAATATAAATAAATTTTGTATTAAAAAAAATTATTTTTAAAAATGTCTTGTATTGGTTTGCCAGTTTATTTTGTATGCATAATATAATAAATGAGAAAATTAAAATTGAGAATAATTGGAACTAACAAATTTAAAAAAAGTATAATATATTAATATAAAAGCAAATTGGTGAGCATGGGGGGGGGGGCAAAGCCCCCCATAAAAATCTTTACAGTGAGCCCCCTGAGATTGTAAAGGCTAGCCACGCTCCTGTCCACTATTCAACTGTTCCACAAAAAAGGCTAAAAAAGTCTCCCAATGTATGTTTTTCATAATTTAGAAATTTATGATTATTAAAAAAATCAAATATTTCACCTTAATTATTAATTTTTACCGTAGATTAACATACAAACAATGTTTAAATTTATTTTGGTAAGGTTACCTCTTCACTTTTTATAGCCCCTTCTTTCACAGACTCAACCCCCATATTTATTTTTTATTCGATTTTCTTTCATTTTTAATAATATTATTTACTATCAAATGTTTAAAGTATCCATCCTTTTTTTCCATCTAATTTCTTGTTATGTCTTCTAATTTTTCCTGAAATTTCCTGTTATATATCCACTTATTTTCCCAAAATTTTTCCTAAGATCCATTTAAAGAATTTACCAACTCTAAAACTAAACTATAAAGTTACACGAAAAAAAGATTGAAATGTTTACACAAAATTGACCTTGACCATTACCTTCCTTATAACACTTTATGAAATATGAATTTTTATAAATTAATTTTTCTCGGACATTGCTAATTTATGCTTTTCGTTTTTTTCGTAATAAATTACAATAAAATATAAATCTGGTTAAAAGGTCGTTTTGTTTGTTTCATAAGTATATGAGAATTTAATTAAGAAATTCTATGCCAACCATCATTGCCATATAATCTTAACTTAATATATAATGCATTGTTAATTTGACTATGAAAAAAAAGGCAAGTAATAAATATCTTTATTATAAACATTATTCATTTTTTTCACATATTACTTTTTTTAATCTAGTATGAAATTTCTATCATATATTATTGCTTGTCTAGTTATTCTAAGTGAGTCTTTTATAAACAATTGGTAAAAGAATTTAATTATCAAAATTTTTAGGCTTAGTTGATTATTTCTCAGGAACCCCTATAGAATCCAAGTGGAATAGAGGTAAAATTATAATTTTAGTTTTTCTAGATAATTCTGTTACTCATTTTTGTTAATTTGACAAACTTTATTTTAATTCCAAAAATACAATAATATGAAAAAAAATTTCTTATTTTTATTTTTATTTTAACAAAATATAAAAATAAAATTTGGTAATTTTAATCTAAGATATCAACAATAACTCTTCTATTTAAATTTGTCCTTGACTTAATTTGGTTTGGCATGTAGGGATTGATTCATATACTTGATCACATGACACTTTTGATATATAATGTACCATCAATATTTGTTAAAATTATGCATAATGGTGCTTTAATAATGTCGCTATTCTAATTTGTTTATTTAAAAGCACAATAATTTCTAAAACATGTAATTTGGATTTTTAATTTCACAAGAAAGTGTACTAAAACACGTGATCATTTTATTTCTTAATAATTTTTTAAAACAATCTTAAAAATTATTATACAGTTCATTTCTGTGAATCAAAATGACAGTGACCCCTACACTTTTTGAGGAATAGAAGCAGAATACCCCCCTAAAGTACCCCCCCTCCTCCTCCATTGTAAATTATTTTTTGACACCAATAAATTTCAAAAATAATTTTCAATATTTATTATAATATAAATATAATGTAAAAAATATATGCTTTAAAAATATTATTTTTAAATTAATAATTTAGATAAATTAGGGGAAAAGAAAGCAAAAGAATTTATAATTTCATCAATATTTAATTGTTTAAATAAATTATTTTCCATTGATAAAATGGTTAAATTATTAAGAAATGGATCTTTCATGACACTACGAAGTCTTGTTTTAATTAGTTTAATTTTACTCCTGACCCTTTCGGCATTACATGATGTAGTAGGAATAGTTAATAAATATTTATATAAAATTGTTAAAATTTATAAGCAGACGATAAGGTAAAATAAATGAATAGTTTCTCCAGTCTGAATCATTCATCTCAGAATTATTATCATCATCAGAAGAAGCTAAATAATGTATTAGTAAAAATATTTAAATTAAATAAATTTACAATTCTCAGAATCTGACAAATCTTCTTTAACCTCTAGGTCACGAATAATAATTACGTCCCCCGTTTTAGCCATTTTATAAATATTTCTAAACATCAACATTTCCTCAAAAACTTGACTTGTATTTAATTGATAAAATTTACAGATATCCTTGATATCATCTTTAACAATTGCCTTTGCCGCCATTCCCTTTGGGGTAAAAAATGATGTTTGACTCAAAAATTTTATCGATTCATCGTTAAATCTTTCACTAAACTGCATAATAATTAAATCAAGTGCAGCATAAAACACACTGATTTTAAAGCTAAAATAAAATATTATATTTAATGATGAAAGTATATATATACCTCTCCTTTTTGGATTGTAATGTTTGAAGTCTTGAACTTTCAAAATCAAAAGGTAAATTTCTCTTCTTCATAAAATCTTGGGCCTTTGAAAAGACATCCAAAAATTCAGTGTTATTATCTATTTTAGGATTATAAAATAATAAAAGATAATAATTTAAATTATACTTCTCATATTAATCAGGCAATCTTTTGCCAATTGAATTTGATTTATTGCAAACCCTATATCCTTCGAAATGGTTTGCAATTTTGTACAAGCCAAGCTTGTTATCAACAATATTTTATCCAAAACACATAGTGATAAAATAAAATAAAATTTTTCTATTCTATAGACTATAGCACTAGCCATAGTGGAAGTGGCAGGATCTTCAGAATCCTTTAAATTTGCCAAAGCTGCCCTCAAAGCATCATAAAGTAGGAAAAAATTTACAATCGCCTTATATGATGTTAGCCAGCTTCTATAAATATATAATAAACATTATATATCGAAACAATTAAGATAATATTACCGAGTGGTATTCTTGATGGGTAAAAATCTATGTGATTTTGTCAGTAAATCACTCTGACATGTTTTGAGCACTTCATATCTTTTAACACCATTAAAATATACGTAAATTTCGTCTAATATTCCTAAGACATTTCGCAGCTCTTTTACTGATTGGCATAATTGAACAACTATTAAATTTAATCGATGACAATAGCACCAAATAAAAGCTGCCTTTGGCGCCTCCGCTCTAATCAAAGCCTGCACTCCATTAATTCTTCCACTCATGTTTGAGGCGCCATCATAGCTTTGCCCTACTAGGAATTCGAGGGGTAGATTCATAGAGCCAAGCTTGGATATTATATTCTTTTTAATATCGAGGCCCGTTGTATTTCCCGTACAATAAATGTCTATCAGCCTTTCAACGGGCTTAGGTGTCTCGCTATTTTCAACATATCTCACTATCAAAGCTATTGCTTCTGATCTCGATACATCATATGTGCCATCAACTATAATTGAATGGGCACCTGTTGAATACAATCTCCTTTTGAATTTTTTTTATAACCATATTTTTCATGGTTTCAATAAGAATATTTATGTTATTATATGATAACAGATTTGAATATAATTTAGATTTTAATCCCTTAATTTTTTTCTCACTTCTTCTTTCTTCATTATCTTGTATATACATTTTAAGAACAGGCTCAGAATCTGCAATAAGTTTAATAAGGCTCATCATATTGCCATCTTGTTGCCTGTTCCCCCAGAAGGCTTGATTGCGAGATAAGCATTTATATTTTTTTTGGTTAATATTTTTGGGCATATTTTGATAATGATCTAAAAATTATAAATGATTATATATAAGATTTAATATTTAAATTTTTACTATTCACTTTGATAAAATTTTAATTTTGCGTCAAATCTTGAAAGTGGAAAAATAATTTTATGATAAGAAATATCGGATAACAAACTAATTTGCTAAACATCGACCATAAAAAATTTTTTTAAAAAATTTTAAAATAAAAAATTTAAAAAAAAAAGTACCCCCATAGTATAGAAGCAGTTGCTTCGGACCCCCCTTCCGTTGTAGGGGTCACTGCAAAGTGATATATTGCGAAATTAAAAACAATGGTTATTGATGGCTGTTAAGAATAATTTGTTCGTCATTTAGCAATCCTTTAGAATAATGATCAATATTCATATTCTTTTTCTAAAATAGTTGATAATAGAAGAATTGTTGGCAGATAAGAAACTTGAAGAATTAAGAATTCGAAAGGTCATAAAGCATGAAGGTTGCTAAAATAACTATAATTAAATAATTCATATATGAAAAATACTGATCTTAATTGTCTAGTCAAGACAACGTGAAAAAATTAAAGTTATAAGAAAATAATCAAAATTCTAAAGGTATAAATATATAAAATTAGCAAAAATAAAATTCACTCATAACAACTTATAAATATAATAAATTAGTTAAAGTTGCGGGCCTGTTTGTGAAATCTTTTGCCTATTTGGTGGCCCCAATCTCTCATTAGATGGAGTTATAAAATATTGTAATAAACCTTTATTTATATTTACCTTAAAATGCCAATGTATAATTAGATTCGCCTTACTACCCCTCTATAGATAACTAAAAAATACATATTTTGAAGTGTTTTTTTGCAGTAGGGAAGATTGGATACTAAAGTTCAATTGAATATCGAAAATCTCTTCATTTTATATATTTTTATTTTAAATAAATAATAATAAAAGTTTAAATTTCCCATAAAAATAATCCCTAATCTATATAAATTGTATTTACTTGAAAAATAAATATGTTATAAACTATCATATAAAATTACATTTTAAATTTAATTGGAGTGTGAGGGTAGTTATCAGGAAGGAGGTCCAGGGATGTGAGCCCTTAGACAAAAAAGCAGAATTTTGGCCAGGATAAGTTCAGGGATAAATATATCAGGGACGAGAACCTGAACCCAAACCCTGAACCCGACCCTAGATATTTTGCTGAATCCAAACCCAAACCTTTTTTTTTAAATTTAGAGTTCAGGATTCAAGCTTTTTTTTTAAAAAAAAAATTTTTTTTTTAAATTATTAAACTATTTTAAATTATATTTCAAAAATTATACAATATAAAAAATATACAATTTATGATTTTCAGTTATAAAAGCTTTCCTATTTAAAAAGAGTTTCTATTTAAAATAATTATTTTTTTATTCAAAATAAAATATTAATTTTACAAAAAACATATTCATCAGACATATCAAAATGGTCATCAAGGTATGGATCAGAATCATTAATATCCAAGATATTACCTGTCTCATAAGTTGACTGCAGACATTTACGATGTTCAGCCTCAATTTCACATTCTAAATCTACTCGATATCTAAGAGGCTGAAATAATTTCTCTAATTTTTTTAATGAGAATATCAATTTTGGTAACCTTTTTTTATGCCATCAACTGTAACCAAATTATGAAGTCCATGCCCTAAGCATAAATGATGCTCATAATTACCTAATCTGACGTTTCTTTTGCGTAGCATCAGTTACCATTTGTATTATTTTGGCTTTTAAATGGAACTCCTCTTCAATACTATCTCTCAGATAATATTGTTTCCCCAGTATGCTTTTGAGTCACTTTCTAGTTGCTAGGGTAAAATATTTTAAATCAAAATTTTCATCTAAATGATGAAGACTAAATGTGATATAATTTCGACGCTTGAAATAATCGGTCCATAAATCAAAAGTGATAGAACAAAATTTTGGTCCAGAATCAATTAGATTTAAAACATGGGCCTTTATAGATAAATAAACATCGTCTAGCGCACCCCGACTAATGGTTGTCTTATTTGACAATTCTGTCGAGGAATCAATTATCTTATATTTCTATTTTTTAGGCAATTTATTTTTTAATAATCATTTTATATAAATTTTAAACCTTTAGAAAATCTGTCATTCCTTTATTGTTTATAGAATCAAATGGCATTACATCTAAGCAGCACATCAAAACATAATTTCGCCCTATTAGATTTCATATTTATTTTAAACATTTAAAAGATATTTAAAAAACATCAAAATAATTAGAGCTGGAATGAAACAAATTAAATTAGATTTAGTTTAAACTTTCAAAATAAAGTTTTACATAATTAATTTATTAAATTATATATTAAGTTTATACATTAAAAAGACATTTAAAAAACATAATAATTAGAGTTGGAATGAAACAAATTATGAATTTGATTTAGTAGTAACTTTCAAAATAAAGTTTTACATAATTAATTTAATAAATTATATATTAAGTTTATATATTAAAAAGATCTCAAAATAGAGCTGGCAATAAATAAACTAAAAATTTAGTTGTTTTGAACTTTCAAAATAAAGCTTAATAAAATTAATTTAACAAACCAGTTAAAATTTTAAATGAATAATAATAAACTATAATACTAACATAAGAGCCATTTTTTATTTTTTATATTGTTGCTGCATCTTGCTGTTGGCTTTAAAAATATTTTTAGACTTTGAATGGATTTATTATTATTAATTTTTTCTGTATAGTTTGTGATAATTAATTAAGTGCCGAGATAGATTACTTGTACTTATATTTTACTAAAACATTTTATTTCATAACTAAAATATAAAATATATATAAATATAAATATAAGTCTAAAATAAAATAAATTACTGTGAAAATGAATTATGTTTATTCAAATCTTCCTCATCTTTTTTCGCCAATTTTAAACAAGGTTCATAATAAATATAATCAGGCATTATTGTGCTTTTCATATTTTCATTCTTCAAAATAAGATTTCCAAAGTACCTCCAGACATAACTTGATTTATGATTAGTAGAGAGAGTTGTTATTTCATAATTGTATATAGGGTGGTTTAAAACGTGCAAGTCCATAAAAATAATTAATATGAATTGTTTGTGGAAATAAAATATGATGTATGAATGAATGTAAATGATATACACCAGTCTATTATATATAGCAATAGAATACAATTCATATTTTAATTTTATTAATGTTAGTATTCAAATAAAATAATAATAATTTATATGCTTTCTAAAAATTACACACGCTGCGCCGCCGCCATAATAACACTAATCGTCAATCGAGCCGGCTCGCGCCGCTGATATCAAGTGAATAAAAATACCGGCGGCGCATGGCTTGAACCGGCGGCGCACAGGTCAAGTTACAATATACCTAACTATGATCCGAGTGTGTAATAAAAATATTCAATCTTTATATCATAATTCTATGATTTCATTAAATTTAATGTATTTATTGGCAATAAAATACCTAGAAATCTTTATCAAAAAAAACGAGCCTTAGATATATCGGAGAAATTACAATTTTAATTTTTTTTAAAAAAATTTTTCGATGATAGAAATTTTATTTTAACTATAATCAAATTTCTTAAGTTACATAAATTATAATATTGTTATTTAAGAAATTTGAGGGATCTCGTTTCATCTTCACCATGCAATGAATATATTTATTTTCTAGTTATAAAATAAAAGAAATGCTGATCGTCCGCGAAAATAAACGCGGTGTCTCATATAACATCTCTGGACTGATTATAAAGGATTAAGACATTTTACTCTCCCTTCACGAAAAACTAAATAGTATATTTCAAATTAACTAAAATGACAAAATGTTTATCGTAAATATGTAATTATTTTGGGCTTTAATTTTTCGAAGAGTGCAAAACATACATAAACATTTTGTTGAAAATAAAAGTTAAAAAAATTATAAGGATAGTTTATCTCATAGAAAAAAATAACTAATATATATTGATATTTTAAATTTAAATGATAAATGTATCCTAATAAGAATGGGTTCAAAATGTTTAGATTCTAATGAAAAGTTATAAATGCAAATTTAAAAGCAATTAACTGACTGCACCCTATTCTCTTCCCTGCTCAATGGTACTGGGCAAGAGTTCTCGAGGCCATTCCTTCAGTCAATCTTCAACTTCAACTTTCCAACAACGAACTTACCTACGCCATTGGAGTCTAAATTGCTCAATCACCCACCCACACATCTGTTCGGGTTGAACGAATGGAAAACATAGTTTACATATTAAACAAAAATGAACTTTTTTTCAATTTATATTACCAGAAAATTTTGGCTAATCGAAGTCGATTTAGAACTCGGCATTCCGTCAAATTATATTATATTCAGAATAATTATTAGAATAATGCTTAACACGTAAATATACGCGTATAAACCAAAAATGAAGAGATTTTGTCAATAATTCCAATAATATGCGCCTTACAATTTTTATATTATTTTACCATTCTAAACCCACCCATAAATTGAATATCAAAGAAACCTATCATTTTTCAAAAAAAATTTTAGGTTTACATGTATTTACTTCCAATTATTTTTAAAAAAAGCGCTAAAAAATAATCATTATATCTTCATATTTAAGCATTTAACGCCCTCTAATGGATATATATATTTGTTGAAATTTGAATTGTAATAAGCTAGCAAATATTTTTTTTTTGTTTTGCATTTAATCTTAAGTAAAAATGGATAAGTAAAAATGGAATTAAAAATTTTGTTTGTTTCTTCCTTTAATTAAAAAAATATTTAAAATGCAAAGTTTCATCTAAAAAAAATTTTGTAGAAAAAAAAACTTTTTTTAAATATCTTAAGAAAATAACAAAATTGTATCCATATAAAATCTTAACGAAATATATATTTGTTTGAATTTTTTTTCAATATATATAAGCAATTATTCTACATCAATCATACAAATTATTTTAATAATTTTTTTAATGTTAAACTATTTTTTATTATTCATTTATCTTTAAAACATGTAAACAAAATATAAAAATAAAAAAATATATATGTCGTATTGGGATATGGAATCATGTGGGATTCGGCTCCCATTCGAAATCTTTTTTTTTAAATATTTTTTTAAAAAATATTTCTGGTGCCAGCCAGGAGGCAAAAAAATATAATTTAATTGTTTTTTTAAATAAAGATTTCGAATCCCCTTAAATTATTTTTTTTTTTAAAATTTATTTTTTGTTATATCTGAATCATAACCGTAACCAAACCAATAAAAAAATTTTTTGAAGTAGTAAAAAGAACCTTTATAAAAAAACGGTTCAGTTTTTATATTTTATGGAAATAATTTGAATATCCAGAATTATATAAACGTGCTCTTATAGTA